CCCCCCCTACATATGAAATTTTCACGTGATGCGGCGATCCCGAGGATTCCAGCCCCTCACTTGTTAAAGCAAGGACAACTCCAGCTAGCTGGTGCTAGCTTTCGTGATTTGGCGCAATTGTCGCACAGATGCTGCAAGTGACCTTGAATAGCTGTGGAACCGTTCAACCTTCTACTGAGGTCATGCTGCAAGATGTCCGTCCCTATTTTGTGATACTATGACATGTTCCGGCTCGTGTTAGCTAGACATGGTTGTAGGACCATGCTTCGCGATGAGGCCGCGAAAGATCCGCGAACGATATTATTTCCGCGAAGAATTGCCATTCCAGGATGAAAGAATATTGATCAACCACCATATATATATATATATATACATGTCCCTTTCTTTGTTGGCTTTGCCACGTCTATCTATTCTATTCGAGCTGATCTATTTGGTTGCACCCTTCACATTTGTTTATATAATTGTTTGTAGGCAGCAACGCTTTTTCTGGAGTGTTAGTAAACAAACTCAGTCCAGACTTGAATCTATCATTTCATGCCCTCTTGACCAAGGGAGGTCAAGTCCGGCTCAAGTCCGGCTTTGAGAACTGATTGTTTGGTTTTTGTATGCTATAGCAGCATGGTGGCAGTGCAGTTTGCACTGGTCAGTTTCCGGTATGTCTATGTATGTCGGTGCCTTGTTTGTAAGAAAGCACTGCTCGGTAAAACAAACACACAGAAGTACTCAAAAAAGTAGAGTTAGATGGATTCATTGCATGTTCCTATATGAGTGACAAAGGACACCAACACTTCCAACTGCGAACCTGACAGCACGGACTGTAACTTTGATGCAGGGTGATGCAGCTTGGGGAATGTTGGGGGGCCTCAAGCTGGGAACCTGGACTTTAGCGGCACATTTGTGAAGCTTTCGCGGATCTTTCGCGAAATGTCACTGGTGCTTTCCCGGGGAAGCCGCTGAAGCCGTAACATTTGCAGACATCTGCACAGCCCGTCAGAGCAGCTGCAGGTCGTTGCCTCACTGTCAGGGCTGTGCCTACTCAGGTTGCTAGTCTGTGACAGTGGGGGCAGGAATCGGAGAATCCTTTACGCACTGCCAGGGCTGGGCACGGAAGTGTTGAGGCTTCAGTTCGTTAGTCTGTGACATATGGGGACACGTCCGCCCACCGGCTCTGCCGGAGGATTGCCTTCTTTGTCAGTCCGGTAGAAAGGAAAACATATGAAAGCGATGACCTTCGATAAATCTTTCGCGGAAAAACAAGGATACTTTCGCGAGCCTCATCGTGAATCTTTCCCGGATGGTTCTAACAACATCTGAAAGGCTGTTGTATATAAAACTCCTTACACGAGGTTTTCGATCAACTCCCATATAGGCACTACAGTATCTAACATGTGAGGACTCCTTCATACAGTAGCATGGCATACTAACTACACTACAGGCTGCAGGCGCTCTCTGGGGTCGAGCCTGCTGTATTCTCGTCGGGGCCGAAGAACAGAATCTCTTGTTGTCCTTTCAGGTGTCCTGAAAGGCTCTGAAGCCACAAATCTCATGCTTTTGATTTAGAAGAGGCCAATACAAAAGAAAAAAACATGAGGGGACCAACTCTAAACATGTGGGGACCAGCTCTGATTTCTTTTGATGGGGCATTGTTTCACCTGGCCATATCAATCGTCTAAGGGTTGGACCTGCGAAAATGCCGCTTTGCTCTGGCATCATGCAATCCAACAAGGCATCCAAGTACCGTGTGAAGCAAGACCTTGCTGGCAATAACAAAGTCCACATGCTGTATCACACAGGTTCTTGATCTAGAAGGAAGGACGCTATTAGGGGCTCCTGGCCTTACTACTAGGAGCAACCTTCTCAAAGCACACAGCCTTCTTGGAGCTCTGAGTAGCGTCCTTGTTCCTAGTAGCGATGCCAGGAGCCCCTAGTAGCTTCTTGTTGCTAGTAGTAAGGCCAGGAGCACTAGTAGCGATGCCCAAAGGGCCCCCTTGTTTCTTGACGCATGGCATACTTTCCTCGAGAGCCAAGAGACCGCATTCCCAAAGGCCCCTGGATCGATGCACCCGCAACCACGTTTCCGCCGTTGCTGTTTGGCCAGGAGCGATCAGGCAAAATCACGCCTTTCGATCCACCTGTCCCAGTCGGGGTTTGATTGTCAGGCTTTGAAGTGGTTTGACAGTCTCAAATTCTCAATGCCCTGCACGAGTCATCAATATGAAGTAGGGGCCGACTGTTCTGACTTTGTTCGGACAGTTGGGTGGCTGGTTCGAGGGCTTGCAGAGCACTCTCAATCCTGGGCGTCCAAAGGAATGCGCAAACTGCAACCGCAACCCATTGGACGCAGTCATGCCTTCAGGGATGTCCTGCTACTCACTCAGACTGACCGGCAAAGAAGATTTTGCAATATGCTGCATGTGGCGTGTGCATGCCTTATCCAACTCAACTTGAAGAAGAAATCACAAAAGACTAGGAGCAAGATAGTCTGCACAGATTGTTCCAATTGTGTATTATCAATATATTTAGTGGTCGAGACTTGACGTGAGGAATGTCGCACTTACTCTTCCTCCCAAAGTACTCGTTGTAAACTGTAGATCTTCTGTCTCAAACAACCGTCTTCTGCCATGTGCTGCACACAATTCCCCAAAGACCTATCCCGTGCAACATCGCGGGCAAAGGTCGAAGGTCTGCACAATGAGCAACTAATTGTCACAGCTACTCAAAATCGAATCAGTGGACAGAACACAAGAAACATAATCAAGCTCAAGATAGGTCAGATAGGTTCCAGCAACCTTCGATCAACCACTACCTCAATGCCCAAGCAGTCCTTGTTCTTGTACTGCTGCGTAAACGCCAAGTTGTAGCACTCCTGGCCCACTTGACAGTTGACAGCTCTAGGTTCTGCTCCTCTGCTGATCTCTATCGAATTGACGTAGATCTGAATGAATCGTGAAGATTCCAAGCAAATTCAAACAGTGGCTTCTTGCTTAACCTGGAACCGACAAGAGGAAAGGTTTCATTTCTTGTGGTGGTTCTATGCTCTGACTATGGCACGGTTTGTGTGTTTCTGACAATTGAGACCAAAAAGACTAGACCTCGGCTTTTGAACCAAACATAATCTTCAGGACCCTGAGCCATCGTCAGCTTGGAGATAGGAGACTTGCTCTGCCTCTCTGAGCCTTCGGTCGACAATTCCTGATTCCAAGTTCCTGAATGTAGATGAATGTAGACAATTCTACTGTAGATGGAATTTCAGTTGCAAGTGGTCTCTGAAGTTTCACAGTGTCCTCAAAGAGAGTAGCAAAGTTTCGTTCGTAGGTGTTCTTGTCTCGGGAGAGCACAAGCCTGTCCAGCGCAACTTGCTCCACTTCGTCAGAACTGCTTCTCTGCTTCGTCTTGAGCGCCCTACTGTCCCTTTTTTGAGCAAAGGTCTTGAGGCGATTGGTTTTCTTTTAATCTTATTTGCCCAACCTGATGCCGCCGCGCGAGACATCTCGAAAGCGAGTATGGAAGCCCATGAAATCGCGGCCGCAAATCAAATAGATGCCTTGGACAGTAGCGAGGCAAGACGCTCAAGAGGCACCTATTTCTTGTTTGACTCCTTGCGTTCCGGTGCGCTTTAAGCAATGAGTGAGGCACACCAAAACTTGTGCCGAATCTTTCTTGAACATGCTGCAGGCTCTATGCTGAAAACCAACGTCAGTCTGTGGCTGAGATCCAAACCATACGGTATCTCCTTGCTTGACGGAGAACTGAATTCAAGACTCAAAAACTACTATTGTACTCCCAGAAAACAGCATAAAAGCCTGTCTTGTTGCTGATCACTGACCTCTTTACCTGCATCCTCTTCATTTACGTGAGAGAAGAGTCTCTAGAGTGTCAGTAAGTAACCCAAATCTAGGAACCAAATCGTGCGAGCGCTTCTTCAAGGAAGCTCCCCCCCACCTCAGGCGGGGGGAGCTTGGTTGAAGAAGCGTGAGCTATCCTGCGCCGAGTTACTAAACGCTTAAGTAGCTTGGAGCGAACTTCTCCATCGCTTTTAGCCAAGCGTCGGGGTACAAAGAGGTTGGGCGGTCTTTGAGGGCGATGGCCGGGTCCAAACGGAATGAGAGCGCACCTGGAGTTGGCTCCTGGATGCTGTCAGAGTTCTCTTTGCTTAGTTCATACAGAAAACAATCGCCTCCCCGACTTACATGCCCAATGGTGCCGGACAATCAGCCTTTGACACCACAGCAAAACCACCAAAGAAACAATAAACAACTGGAGTCACGAAGAAACTTTGGACACTTTTGGAAAGACACCAAAAAGCCGACAACTACAGGTCTTCTTTTGTTGATTTCCATGTTTCACATTTTTTTGCTACTGTATTTTGCTTCTCCTTTAGTGCCTTGTTCCATTTTCAGCAAGGAACTTACTGCAACGTTTTTGAAGCCTGGCTAGACACCTGGCAAGTATTTGATTCACAGTCTTACTCCTGGATTGTTTTCGAGGGGTCAAAACCACGAGAGGGTCCACGCATTTCGTTTTCCAAATTTTTGCTACAACGGCATATCAGTTCTTTCAAGGACCGAACAAATCAAATCAAACCTATCCTGCAGCAATGGGAGGACAATATGTTTTCATGGACATTTTGATGGACAGTTTCCAATTGCTATCAGCATATCTTCGGAACCTTCGTGGTTCATGAAACACCGATGCACATTGAAGTTCATGAATTGAACATGAACTGTTGACATTGATGCTCCAACCAAACGCCATTCCCCCTGATCCACCCGTAAACTGAATGTCATGACTGTTGTCAATGATGAACACCCCAAGAAGGAAGCGTGAAAGCCAGTAGAAACCAGTATGCAGTTGTAAAAGGCGAGGAGCGGTTGACAAAGTACAAATAATCAAAGCTGTGTATGAACACACTGCGACCAAAGTCTACAAGGACATTGCCGAAGTGATCCGTAAGCATGCTTCCAGCAGACGAGCAGCAGCAAAGCAGCAGCACCAGGAGGAGAAACAGCAGAAGCAGCAGCAGCAATGCGCCTCTGATAGGCTTCCTCCACAAACATTTCGCTGATGCAAAATTACGAATTGACTCGCAGTTTCTGCATCATCAGTTTTCTAAGTTTACATATTTCCCTCAATCAAGTGCCTTTTGATGATGTTCACATAGAAGAACGTTACAAGTACATTAGAATGCCCATAAAGAGCCTTAAACGCAGGGTCTGGCAATGGCATTGACACCAAACACATGAGCAGCAGAAACCTCTTTGGGGCTATTTCATGTGACTCTATCAAGGATGAGCTCGCACGTCCTTGAAGAAGTTCGTCAAAAGAATGCTGTGGTTGAAGGTGAGGAACCTTATTTGTGGATTTTGGGCATTGAACATTGTATCATGCCTGGCGGAAGAACAGAAACAACTCACAAAAGACCCAGGAACATCTTTAGGATTTGACGATCTTGCGGGTCTGCACACGTACGATCAATCACCTTGGCGATACGAGACCCAAAACAAGCTTTGTAGAACGTTTGCGAACGACAATGTTCAATGATACTGGCCAGCCTGCAAACACACTCAACTGTTTGAACGTGGGTGTGTGTCAACCATATTGAACAAAACTGGACTACATTGGATGCAGCAAACAACCTGTCCATAAACAGCTGGACGCTAATTACTACTAATAACTAATAACTAAGTGCTGCTTTCTTCAGGTAAGCGAACCTTATGATCGATGCTTCCAACTGACCAGCATTTTCCAAAACTGAGTTCACTCGCACCAATCGCTTGACCCCTTAGCCATGCCACTTGACTGATCTCTGTGTTGAACCTGGGCTCCACTTCTCCCAGAGCGATCTTCGAGAAGTCTTCGAAGAACAGCCTGCGTGTGTTTTGAAACGGCAAGCTGTGCTTTGCTCGCTTCTTGAAAGCAGGCCAATCTCACCAACAAAGCTGAAATTGTAACCAAAGGAGCACGTTAGACAAAAGTCTCGGCATGTACCTGACAGGGTGAGAGAGTCTGAGCCTTGATAAGTCTGTGTACCTCTGGACCAGCTGATAGATGCGTTCAGTGGACAGAAGGTCCTGAAGCAACACTTCCAAGCATGGGAACCACGCAAACCACGTCTTGCATACACAAAATCCTGTCCCAAATGCCCACTAGAGGCCCTAGACCTTTATGCTACCGGCACATACATATGCACGTGGAAGCGGCTTTCACATGAGAATCGGTGAACTATGCACCCATTGCAGGTGACGGCAGTGGGAGCATGAGGACCTAATACTTTCACTGTTTCACCGCAATCGTGCAGAGGGAACTTCCTGTGCCGATCTTTGCTGCATGTTGTGCACATACAGTACTCATCATACAGTAGCGTCATTCACATTGCACTCGAACATTTCATCCATTCGCAGAAACTACTCTTGACAGACTCTATTTCACTTGAGCGGGGAAACACGAAAGGTAGAGACGGACCGGGTAGCTGTTGGGACCTTTTCTGGTGAGGGACTGTCTCCGGTGTTTCAGGAACGTGCCCCTTGGTCAATCATGGCTGAAACCAACAAAGCCAGAGAGCACAAGAAGGCTCAAGAGGAAGACCGTTGCGGTCAGATTGCGCCACACGGCTCTGCGCACGAGGGGTTTCTCCACAGGGCTTTGCAGAGAGGCTGTGTTGCATCGATGCTCGTTGGCGTCGAGCAATATGGTCTGTGAACGCAGTACGGGCTGTGTCAGGCTGCAGGGTGCGCGCGGCATCGAAGCCGATTTGCGCGACCTCATTGCGCAGGGTTCGTGCTGTATTGCGCAACCTCATGGCCAGCGTCGTACTGCTGTGACTGCTAAGCGCATGACTTCACCTTATGTCCAGAATGCTAGTAGTGCTGGCGACGAGGGGAGGGGAGGGGACAGGGAGGGGACGGGGAGGGGAGGGGAGGGGGGGGTCGAATCAATTGATTTATCAATGAATCATCACATGGGAGGGGGGGTGGGGGTGTTAGACATTGATCTACCAATCTTTAGTCCCGAGCAAGCTCTCAAGCCAGTCCCTTTGC